TTGATACATGTATTCTTTAACATTCTCTAAATGTTGATAATTGACCTACTTTCTGAAATGCTAAATTTAGCCCGTGCATTAATTCAGCGCACCTGCAGAACATGTTAAATGGCTGAAACAATCATGTCGCATAACTGCAGTGCGAGTGCGTGAGTGAGTTTAGTTTTACGACGCTTTTAGCAACAGGGGCGTAGGAACGGTTTTCAGAGCGGGGGTGGGGGTGGGGGGTCGGTGGCTAATTTATGAAAAGTATAGAAAATCAAAATGAAATTGTAGTTATGGTAAGGTAGATATGGTTTCGTCTTGAAAAAAGTCCCCTTCCCCTGTTCCTACGCCCCTGAGCAATATTCCAGAAATATCACGGGCGGGGGACACAAGAAATGTGCTGCACACATTGTACCCATGTGGGGAATCGAACACGGATCTTTGGCGTGACGAGCGGACACTCTAAAAGGCTTGGCTACCGTGTAGTACGAATATATGAGCTTGTTCAAACGCCTCACGGACATTGAAGCACGAATTGAAGGATTTTCATATATTACGAAAGTGCCACATGGAATTTATGGCAGCATTCAGTTTCATTTATTTATTGATTCATTTGACTTTTAGACTGTACACTAAATATGATTTCGCAAATTTTTATACTTTTATATTGCTGCTTTAAGTCAGATCAACACGGATATTTGATGCTCACAAATATAGTCAAGACCTATGTGCTGAATGTAACGACTTTCCGTTTGCTTGTGCATTGTTCTTAACAGAAAAAGCCAAGCTAAAAAGTAATATTTATTGGATCGACGCTGTGCATTCCCTCAAACGTCACTTAATTCAAGGCACATAATTCTGAACCTGATGGTATTCCAAATTCCACCTCAGACTGGCCCGTTCCTATTTTTGTCAGTGTTTTCCAAACAGTGGTTCAAAACAGTGCCAACTTACCCACATACTGTTCTTTCTCGGGTTAAATTTTGTGGGAATCTTTGTTTATACACACAGTGTTTATTTGGTCTCAATCTCACAGTAAACAAGGTTCAGATTGGCTTTCGAACCTCCATGCTGCCATGTGTCCCAGTGTTACAACCACGCAGTCACACGATGTTTGTTTGATGGTCAGGTTAAAACAGAATCCCATGTAATCCTGCTGGAAAACACTGAAATGTGGAACAAATATTTTCCGAGATCAGAGGCATGAGTCAGCGAGTGATTTCTTTGTGTCTTAGAACTGCTATTTTGTGTCATTAAAGTATTCTGTTAGTTTTTGGTTAATACTTGTTAGGTGAATTTGACCAATACACAGCGATTTTTAGACAAATATGTTTTAGTATTTGCAAATTAGTGAATACTGCGTTAAGTCGCAAAGAGCAACTTTCCAGCTGTAGAATAAAGCTTATCTGTATCGAAATGTTTGTTTTTTTGTTTGTTGTTTTTACGCAGCATTCAGCAATATCACAGCTATATGGTGGCTGTCTGTAAATATGTTCGAGCCTGGACGACCCAGTGATCAACATGATGAGCACCGATCGATGCAGTCGAGATACGATGACATGAAGCCAGCGAGTCTGACTACCCGGTCCCGTTAGTCGCCCCTTACGACAACATGGGCTACTGAAGGCCAACTCGAACCCGGATCTTCACGGGTCTCAATCAACATGAGCGTTACAAAGTCGACCCGTAGCGAATAAGACTGGGAGTGGTGTTTAACAACTAACTGAAAAGATTCAAGCTGTCTTAGGGCGGCTTTTTGTTGATAAAATCTGAGTGAGGCACATCAACGACGTTGCCTCCAGCAACGTTTCGTGATGTATGGATGCGATGACAGACAAGCAAGTGCATTCGAGGATGCATTCTTCATGTGCAACGATATGCATGGATTCGTTCCCTGTAACCCTAAGGACACAGTATTGCATGACGGCCGCAACACAGTTTGAACAAGTGACTTCATAAACTATACTCAGCAAAATTAAAAACTTAACACTGATACATTTCGACATTTTTCTTTTTCTGTTTAATTAAATTAATTTACAAGTATATTAAACAGTAGTAAACTGTGTGAATGCTTACATTTCGTGAAATTGTGAGTTCACGTGAAAACCGTGACTTTGTAGCCTATAGAGATGAAAAACGCGAAAAGCACGTGTGAAAAGCAAAATCATAATGTCATTCGGTGCATGTTTGCTTAAACTGAACACGAACATTGGATGTGAGCTGAAAAACACACTTTCTATTTTAATCTTTGTTTGGAATGCAACGCCTTTCAAATGGGGAGGCTTGATGCTGGTCAGTCTGTGGTCACTGTTGCAAGAGTCTTTAATTTGCTCAGGGCAAACAATGTTTAATATTGGGATGAGAGTGCAACAATTCGGAACTGTTGCCGTCCGCCCGAGACCAGGAGCATCACGATTACATCTTCGGTACAGATTTGTTATTGCAACTTCTACAAGCTGGGCATTTCTGGTGTCCCCCGCCGTGATATTGCTGGAATATTGCTAAAAGCGGCGTAAAACTAAACTCAGTCAGTCAGTCAGTCAGTCTACAAGCTGGGAAATGATTGGTGGAAGAATAACTGCACAAACTGCCCGAGGACCCCATACTGGACCAACTTTAACGCCTCTTCATCGCCGCAACCGACTGGTGTGGGCCACAAGACACATAAGGTTCAATCAAAGACAGTGGAATTCGGTTGTCTTCAGCGACGAATCTCGATTCACGCTGAGATTTGCTATCGGCACAGCCCGAGTGCACCGCAGGGGTTCGTTTTGCCCACACGGACGTTCTCCATTTGTTGTCGTTCGAGGGAACACAAATGCTGCCCACTACAAGGAGCAGATTTTGCAGCTTGTCCTGATTCCATTTTTGCAGAAACATGTCCCTGGACTGACGTTCCAACAAAACAACGCTAGACCGCACAGAATTACACAGAATGTTCTACGAAATGCCGGTATTCAAGTTCTGGATTGGCCGTCGCGTAGCTCCGACCTCAATCCTACCGAACACATCTGGGACGAGCTGGGTCGACGTGTTCGTCAGCAAGTCAATCCACCACAGACGTTGCAAGATCTTCAACGTCATCTTGTTGAGCAACGGTGACGTCTTCCTCAGGGTATGTTTACTAACGTTCTCTGATCCACGAGGAGAAGTTGTGTGGCTGTAAGAGACGCTGTAGGAGGCCACAGCCCTTACTGAAGACCCCAATCGAATTGTTCTCCACGCTGTGAACTTCATCTTGGAGGGTACCTTGACATCATGAACGTTATCGTTGTTAAAGAGTTTCGGCGAGACTTGTTTTTTGTGTTTCTTTGGTGTCAAGATGTTCGTGTACAGCACGTAACTAAAATTATTGTCTTAAACCTAATATTATAAATCTAGTCAAACAAAACCAAGTATCAAGTTTTTCACCTTTGCTCAGTTTATAATTCTTGGACGCAAACCAAACCGTGGTCATAATATCACTTTGTCAGCAAATTAAGTAATTTACATTTTTCTCTTGTTTTTTTTAATGTTTTGGCCTAGTGGTTTAAACTTTCGCTCATTACGCCGAAGACTGACTGACTGACTGAGTTTGGTTTACGCCGCTTTTAGCAATATTCCAGCAATATCACGGCGGGGGACACCAGGAATGGGCTTCACACATTGTACCCATGTGGGGATTCGAACCCGGGTCTTCGGCGTGATGAGCCAACGCTTTAACCATTAGGCTACCCCACCGCCCCTTACGCCGGAGACCCCATAGAAGAGTACAAAGTGTGAAGCCCATGTCTGGTGTCACTCGCTGTGATATTGTGATAAGCGACATAACACTACACTCACTCACTCATTGATATGTTTCCCCCCAATCCATCCGTGATTTGAAACCGAATTGCGGCAGGTCAAAGGTCAGCAATCCATTGCGGCTTGTAGGTGTGACAGCTGGTAACCTATATCACTTACTTGTCTACCCGCCTTACAAGTATAAAGGAGTCCGCACACATAGCCGGAGCTATGAATACACTATGCCTTTCAGAACGTGGTAACGCCTTACATCATTCAGACCACTTTCTGAACACCAAGGTGTATTCACTCCGAATTTTCTTGTTCGTTAATGGTCACCAACTGTGACAGCAAGTCACTAAGGTAATATGCGGAAATATGCTGAAATATGCTGAAGTATGTACGAATATCGATGCCTTTCAGAAAGTGGTTACAAGTTACATTTCTGTAACCAGTTTCCAAACATCATTGTATGTTCACTTTATCCAAATATACAGACTTGCAATGGTCAACATGGGGGACAGCAAGTGACCAACGTAATATGAAGAAATATTTTGTTGTTTTGCAAGTTGAGTGATAAGAGAGTGACTCAAATACATAACACATCACGCGTGAAGGTCCGGGTTAGAATTCATCTTCAGTAACCCATGCTTATCGTAAGAGGCGACTAACGGGATCGGGTTGTCAGTCTCGCTGACTAGGTTGACACATGTTATCGTATCCCCATTGCGTGGAACGGTGGTGTTGATCACTGGATTGTTTGGTCCAGACTCGATTGTTTACAGATCGCCGCCATATAGCTGGGATATTGCCGAGTGCGGCGTAAAACTAAACTCACTCACTCAATGACATATCAACCCATATCAACAATATGTGTGACTGCTATAACTACTGTAGTAACTTTGGGAATATGACATCAGTCACCGTAACACAAGACGCTCTGATGCTATGTTGCATAAATACTTATCCGTGAAAAATACGTTAAAAGGGAGTAGTATGATTAAGATTTAAAATATAAAACGAGGTTCGCTACCCATACATGGTAGTGACATATCCTGCAGATATGTTGTCAGGTATGTTGCAGAATGTTCAAATAGCGTCAAATGTAACTGTGTATTTATATCCCGTTGAATGCTCGAATTCACAGACATTAATTAACAAAGCTCGCTTCAAGTGGAGTCCTTCGTTTATGATATGTTAATAAAATGTAACAGTTGGCTATTGTGTTAATGATATTAATGTATTCGGCCTACCTGGAAGAAGAATAGACACAATTCGCCACATCACTACTCCGTGTGACCTCCAAGTGCACAACACACACACCCTCAACGTATATCCTTAAATAACCTGAATAATGACTAGTCAAAGGGAGATAACCGCAACACAAGCTGAAAACATGTTTACTTCAAGTTCAGCCCCTTTGAGGGATTAAATCCTCAGCATAAGGCTTGACGACGTGCACTGAATTATTTACGACAGTTAATTTTATTCTTTTATATGACAAGGCCATATAGTATGTTCTCTCTCTTCAAGTGGACAAGTCCTTGCTTTGCAAGAGCTTTCAATCATTATACAGGAAGATATTTGAGTACATGCATGTATTTGAGTTTCACTTTTGACACACGACACCAAGTAGCATATGCCAATATTAGTAATCGCAGATGTAGTCATGGGCGGATCCAGGAATTTTGAAGGGGTGGGGTGGTTCAGAACCCGTCAATGGATGAACACCCCCACCAACGCTGGATCCTTCAATGTGGTAGTAATAGTAATAGCAATATTAATGGTAAGGGTAGTAGCAACAGCAACAGCAATAGCCCCCGCAATATCAATAGCCAATAGTAATAATAGTAAAATAATGGTAATACCAATACCAATAGTAATAGTAATAGCAATAGCAATACCAATAGCAATAGTAATAGCAATAGTAATAGCAATAGTTAAAATAATGGTGATAGCAATAGTTACAATGCTATAATTCAAAAGATAAAATGGTGGACGATGAATTCATATACTGTAGTCGTTCACTGTGACAGACCTTACCTTACGTCTAAATGACATAGACTTGAGTGAGTGAGTTTAGTTTTACGCCGCACTCAGCAATATTCCTGCTATCTGGCGGAGGTATGTACATAATCGAGCCTGACCAGACAATCCAGTGATCAACAGCATAAGCATCGATCAGCGCAACTGGGAACCGATGACATGTGTCAACCAAGTCAACGGGCCTGGCCATCCGATCCCGTTTGTCGCCTCTTACGACAAGCATGGGCTACTGAAGATCAATTCTAACCCGGATCTTCACGGGTCGATTATGGTAAAGATGTAACCAGATGAATGTCAAACGGTGACTGAGGAAATGTGCTCTCCTTTCCTTTGTCAGACAGATAATGATCAAAGGCTTGTGTGACAAGACTTTCAATAAAATCAGTCCTGAAAACTAACTGCCTTATATAGTATGACCAGAAATTATTGAGAATTTTAGGAATATGTTTAATTGGATTTCTAGAAAAACAACCTTGACCAGCTATCAAGTGCTTGGTTTCATTCAAGAGAGACAACTCCGTTAATCATTTTTCATTAGTTTGTGAAGAGTTATCCCCCTTTGTTTACTTGCCAGCAGACGACATTTTCAGTGATCCTCAGTATGGATGATTAGAGAAGAGGAAGTTGATTTTAGAGTATTTTAACAAGGTCATCAGATCAGCTAAAGTGATTTCAAGTAGAACAGACATCCCTTTGTCCACTGTTTATCGTGTTTTGAAAAATATTGCAAATGGATATGGCACTGAGGACCAGGGAGGCGCAGGTAGGCCCAGAAAATTGACTGTCGGTGACATGGAGGCCGCTTGGTATTCTTGTTTCAAAAAACAAACGAAGGACTTTAGAAAACTTAAGGCTGGATATGATTGATAGAGGAACTGTGGCTGTCTGTAAGGAGACAATTAGAAATGAGCTGCATGCAATGGGTTGGCAAAAAAGTCGAGGAATTCCATCTCCGACCATGAAACTGAACAAAAGGAGTGAAGATTGAACTGGTGCTTACAGCATAGAAATTTTAACTGGGACAATGTGATTTTCTCAGATGAAAGTGTTGTGTGGCTGTTTCCTAATACACTGAAATTCTGGACCAAACAAACTGAAAGACCTTTGTATCCGCGCCCAAAGTACAGTCCGAAACTTAACGTGTGGGGTGGCATATCTGTGTTAGGGGCAACGCCCCTCTGTGCATTTGAAGGGTATATGAACTGTGAGCGGTACAAAGATATTCTCGAGGGACATTTACTTCCATCTGCTCACGTGTTCTATGGAAATGTTTTGATTTTCCAGCAGGACAACGACCCAAAACATCGTTCAAAGCATTCACAGGCCTGGTTTCGGACCCAAAATATGACATTATTAGATTGGCCAAGCTATAGCCCTGACCTAAATCCAATAGAAAATGTTTGGGGACTTATGAAGGAAAGTGTCAATAAGAAAACTCTGACAAATATTGCTGAAATGAAAGAAGAGGTGGTCCGATATTGGGACAGCATGGACCACGACTTTCTAACTTCTTTGATCAGTAGTATGCCCCGCCGCATTGAAGCCTGCATCGCTACCCATGGTGACTTGACAAAATACTAACTGTTCACCTGTCTTTGAATCTGGAGTTATGTTCTGCTAATATTCACATTTAATACGTGAGTAATGAGTGAATTCTTTTTTTTACAATATTTAAATTCTCAATAATTTCTGGTTGTACTGTAATACGTTTCCTGTATGACAATGATGTTTTTTCAGATACATTTGAGATGTTTCGTGTAAATTACCCCATGTGCCCCCCTGTTGCATGGGGCTCTTTACCCGACCAACTGTGCATGAAAGAGCGCGCATAGAAGCACATGAATAATACGACCAAAGTGAAACTGTTATAGAATAACTGATACACAATCAAGAAACACATTACCAAATGGATTTGTTGGTTTGACTAGATACAGTGATACAGCTCATAGTTTACAGAATTCTCTTGCTGCCACGGTTACAGAAATTGTTGCTTTGGAACGTGTATTGATATCCGTATGGGGTATTAAAGGTTAAAGTAAGCAACTGTATGTCATGCTATCTTAATATTCTGAAGCATAGAGTCCAGGGTGCAACCTTAGCGCTAAGGCTACCTTAAGGCTATGTTAAAGTATGGGATTTACGATCACCTTAGCGCTAAGATCGCTTTGTACAACGGCACCGTTTAGTTATTTAAAGGGGACAATAATTATTTTCACTGACATTTCATTTCAGTCAGAAATTCTCTCCCATGACGGACAAACTAGATATACTGAAGAGCAAAAGAAAGTATAACGAGGCTGTTTCTATATAAAGAGTGTGAGTTTAGTTTTACGCCGCACTCAGCAATATTCCTGCAATATGGCGGTAAAGAATCGAGTCTGGAACAGACAATCCAGTCGTCAACAGCATGAGCGTCGATCTTCGCAATGGGGATACGATGACATGTGTCAACCAAGTCAGCGAGCCCACCCGATCCCGTTAGTCGCCTCTTACGACAAGCATGGGTTACTGAAGATCAATTCTAACCCGGATCTTCACGGGTGTTTCTATAAAGAACTGTTGTTCAATATGATATGCGTATGTGACCCTTACCCATTCCTAGGACATTTCGTTTAACGAAATCAGTGGCAGTTTTTTTTGGTTGATTTTTGTTTGATTATTTTATTTCATATTGGCTGACGTAGGACTTGCGTAACACAAGATCAGGACACCCCTGGCTTGTTTGAAATATAAGGCAACATTTAGTGATTTTCAAAGGTAAGATATTGAACAGTAGTTAGTGTTTGTTTTTAAAAGAAACCCTTAAAAGTATTTTTTTAAAATTAAACGTATTAAATAAAACTGTACAATTTAAATTGAAAAACAAAACCCACAGACGCGTACGAGATCAAGACTCACGTACAGCTTGTACATTCACATTCACCACGTTCCCGACTGTAAACATCTCAATCCAATCTTACGACTGGAAAGAAAATTGTTCAACACAGTTTCCGAAATATGCATGAACCTTAGGCAACGCCCGTAAAATACATCGTATACTAGTAGACAAGCTCCTCAAAAAACAAGGTGGCTGACAGAAACAAGGATTTTGGGTACGATTCCACTGAAACACAAGGAGTAATATTTGTTATTTAAATATTACAGCAATATGTTCCTTACGTTAGCATTTTAATGTGTGTAAAATGTGTACCCAAGCAAAAGGAATCACAAGGACTTTCTGTAGATTATTCCATGATCAAACAGACATTCTGTGTATTTTCAGCTGCTCAAGGGGACTTTCTGTGGAATATCAGCTGCTCAACTGGACTTTCTGTGGAATTGGCTGCTCAAGGGGACTTTCTGTAGAATATCAGCTGCTTAAATGGACTTTCTGTGGAATATCTGCTGCTCTAGGGGACTTTCTGTTGAATATCTGCTGCTCTAGGGGACATTCTGTGAATATCTACTGCTCTAGGGGACTTTCTGTGGAATATCAGCTGCTTAAATGGACTTTCTGTGGAATATCTGCTGCTCTAGGGGACTTTCTGTTGAATATCTGCTGCTCTAGGGGACATTCTGTGGAATATCTGCTGCTCTAAGGGACATTCTGTGGAATATCTGCTACTCATGGGACTTTCTGTGGAATATCAGCTGATCAAGGGGACTTTCTATGGATTATTAGCTGGTCAAGGGGACTTTCTGCGAAAAATCAACTGCTTAAATGGACTTTCTGTGGAATATCTGCTGGTCATGGGGAGTTTCTGTGGAATATCTGCTGGTTATGGGGAGTTACTGTGGAATATCTGCTGGTCATGGAGACTTTTTGGAGAATATCAGCTGTTTAAAGGGACTCTCTGTGGTATTAGCTGCTCAAGGGGACTTTCTGTGAAAAATCAACTGCTTAATGGACTTTCTGTGGAGTATCAGCTGCTCTAGGGGACTTTCTGTGGAATATCAGCTGGTCAAGGGGACTTTCTGTGGAATATCCCTCAGTCAGCCGGATTTTCCGTAGATTATCCCTGTATCTCCCATACTTTCTGTGAAAATCAATGAGTCAATGGGATTTTTTTGTGAAATACCGCTTAGTCAAAAAGACTTCATGTAGAATATACCCCAGTCAAAGGAACTTTGCATGAAATATACCCTTGCCTGGGGTGGGTTGGGGGTAGGGGGTTAGGGGTGTTCTGTAGAATATCCCATGGTCAGTAGGGTTTTCTGTAGAATATTCTTTGGTCAAGGGGACACTCTGTGGAATATAAGCTGTTCAAGGAGAACTGGGGGTGGGGATGGTTCTGTAGAATATCCATGGTCAGTAGGTCTTTCTGTAG